ATATATATATATATATCGTTCGAGTCCATAAATTGTTTTCATTATGTAAATCAGATGATTGTGATGAGAAATATAAATTGATTCGATTTTGTGGTACATTTGTAAAATTTTGAAATTTATGGTTAGAAAAATTTTGGAGCAGAGAATAATCATATAATTAAAGAAGAATGAAAGTTCACCTGATCCACCTGGATAAACCAAAGGCAATAATTCCCCTGCAATCGAGTTCGTTTGAAAAAGAGACTCTCCTTCAAACTCCTCCCCATTCCCGAGCTTTACGTTCGCCTGAATCACTCTATCCATCGTGCTCGCCCCAACGGTCAACAGCCACGGCGCCTCGTTGGACAAAGTACTCGGTTTGGGTCCCGCATTCCCCACCGAGCAGCTTACAAATAATCCCTTCTCAACCGCCGCGAAGGCGCCGACGGCGAGTGGGTCAACATCGAACAACATCGACGTGGGGCCGAGGGACAGCGAGAGAACGTCTGCTCCATCCTCTATGGCGGCATCGATTCCGGCGAGTATGTCTGACCCAGCACAATTCAACTTCTTGCATACTTTGTAGACGGCTAGATGAGCATTTGGCGCCATGCCGACGGCTACTCCGGCTGCGTTGCCGAGGGCGGAGGCATTGGCGACAAAGTTACCGACAGCGGTGCTTGCCGTATGCGTTCCATGGCCTTCGATGTCCAGCGGCGATGCGTCATTGAGGATTTCCTTGCTCAACGCCTGCACCGTCGAGACATGTTTGCAACTCAAATAGGCATTTTAACGGCTGTATTTCTAATTCACATATATAGATCGACGCATCTGACACTAATGTCACCAAAAGGATTATTGACATATAAATTCTTAATTAAAAAAAATCAAGCAACATGAAAGAAATATGATTTGCTACAGCTACGTGTATGAGCGGCCGGCCTTAAACTGTGAGGGAGGCTGTAAAGCATTTCCTTCAATTTTTACGCCGGCGGTTAGTAAAAATAAAGAGAAAGTATTTAATTATTAAATATTCCATTATTATAACATATCATTAATAACAATACATATTAGTATTCATTTATCTGATGAGTGACTCATAATATACATATGTATGTATGTATATATA